ACACACGCAGCAACACTCAGCAGCACTCAGCACCTGTCTCCAACTGCCAGCGCAGAGAAAGAGACACGGTCAATCACACAGGACAGCACAGCAAAGTGGGAAAAATAAGTGAGAGAGTAGGAGGTGGGAAGCAAGCAGTTCATCAGCAAAATACTCTTCCAGATAAGGAACAAAAGGAAGGAATATGCTTAACAGCTCAATTGGGCCAAATAAAAATCATTACTTTTACATTAAGCCATCTTTAAATAAACTGGGCTTCTTCTTTGCAAAAATGATACACAAAAGTACTGCCTAATGTCTATTCTAAATGTCAAACAAATAAAAAGTAAATTGACTCTTAAAGCAAACACAATTGGAATTGAACGGGAATGGAATTTTGGACTTTCAACAAGTCTAGTTTAACCATTTATACAATATCCAGTAGCCTTTCAAGTAGCCTTTCAAGATCCTTTTTTAATAATTATAAGTATTAAAACCACTGGAGACATTTTTAGTGGTCTGCTAACACAAAAATTTAAGTGTTTGGTAATAATGGCCATCAGGAGATTATTTGGAGGAAAAGGTGAAAGCTGGCAGGCCTGAGGACATCATCTGTTAATTATAGGGGTGATAGCGTCATTTTGAGGGGGTGTGATAATACAGGAAGAACTTGTACCCTGTACAAAATAAATGGCATCATGAAAAAGCTTTATGTGGAAAGATTGAAGCTACATTTTAAAACATTAGCCAGGATGTTACAGCTTGGGCACAAATTGATCTTCCAAACAGACACTGAGGCAAAGCACAGCACTGAATTAGTTAGCTGCGAAGTGGCTTAAAGATGACAAAGTAAATTTTTTGAATAGTCATCTCAAAACCCAGAGCTTAGTCTCATTGAATATTTGTAGATAGCTCAAAAAGGAGCTAGTGAACAATAAAGCTGACTTAGTTACACCAGTTCATCCAGAACTGGTGTAACTAAAACTCCAGAAAACTGTACTGAGAAGTTTGTGGAGGGACACAAAAAACACAATTAATATTAAAAAAGTAATTCATCAATTCTACAGATATAGTTCTAAAATAAATTAAAAAAAATCTTTAAAATATCTAAAAACTTTTGGTAACTCTAACTAACCTAAAACTGAAAAAGATCTGTCTGATTTATTTTTCTTTTGCTACAGTATATTTTTAAATAAATTAATTAATTGTCCACTGTTTGTAAGGTGGTACATAATACTTCAATTTGAAAGAAAAAGATATTGCTTGATAAAAGAAAATAATTTTATTTTACAACAATGTGCAAATTGTAACTCATAATGAAAGTTTTCATGAAGTAAAAAAATTACAAAATCACTTCTTGAGTTTTGAAATATGAACATTTAGATCAGCTTTAATTTAAAAAGCACAATTTTTAAGCCTGAAGGTCAACATGGTAAAATAAATAAAAAGATTTGCTACTGTCATAACAGTACCATGTATTTAATTTTTGTAGTTTGAACTATATACATCAACAATGACAAATCAACTGTAAATTACAAAACCTTTCTTAGTTTTAAGCATATATTTAACTTTAACTTACCGCAGAGCGCCCGGCAGCAGCAGTCTCGCCCACTCTCTGAAAGGCTGCTGTGACTTCAGGGTTGGAAGTCAGTAAAATTGGGCCTTATTTAGCCTCCCAGCATTGCAAGCTGCCATCAGAGACAGAGCGGGAGAGAGAGAGAGAGTGAGAGTGAGACCCTTCCCTTTTAAAACCTCTTTGGAAACTTAGGTCCACAAGTGGTACCACTACATTCTTATCTTAATGTGAAGAGATACAATTGTTTGAGAATGTGCAATTTCTATAACTGCCTTTATCTAAAAGTTATAAACTGAAGCAAATTGAAACCAAGTAAAATTTGACAAGTTTATTTCACCTTAATTTGCGAGTGCCTTATCCCAAGCCAGAATCAGAACAACCTGTAATAAAATCACACCGGTAATTAGGTGAGAAGAGGCAACCTATCTGAGAGTCCAAGCTTGCACCCTCCACTTAGCCGGGCCCTGACACTGTAATATAATCTTTAATAACACCAACCTTCACTGTAACTATATGCTGCAGGCATAGAAGTTATCTGGCTGAGGTTCATGTGACAAAGAGATGTAGAGAGGGCGAAAGTAGAGCTGTAACTCCACATCATATAACCTACTGATGCAAAACATAGTACTTTTATTTTTTGCTTAAAATGTTTCAATTATCTACTTACATAAACGTCTGCACTGCCAATACATAGGAAAGGAGGAATCATAGTTAATGACTCTGACACGCCAAGCATTTCCTTTAGAAACAAACAACAGATGAGCACAATCTGTTTGTTGATGTATGTCTGACAACACATGGTAGTACAAAAAGGGCAAGGCATTACTGCTAGTCAGTGCATTTATGAAAATAATAGACACATCACTCCATTAACTGTGGCATTCTATGTATTCAAAATAAAAGGATTAGATGAGGATTACTCTTTGAGCTCCAATTCCCCTCAGATTGTGCAGTTTTTTTTCTCGTGATATGACCGCACATGTATTATTGAAGACAGTGATCACATGAGTCATGGTATGGAATACAAAACAGAATTAGCCACACTGGGGTGGTGAAGTACCTCCTCACAATGTGTAGCAGGCTGAAAAATGCATGTTTGTGATTTTGCTTCACTTGTATAAAACATCCAAAGCAGAAGAGTGTTTCAAATTAATCCCATTAGTCTGTCTGTCAGAGGTCCCTGTACAACCAACATGCATAATACGGAAGCAGAAGCAAATGCAAAATCCAGAGACTGTTGTTAGACAGGAAGATATGCATACTTCTACACACAAGTTATCTACTTGTGTCACTGTTCAGACTGGAATTTTGATTTTTTTTTTAAACAATTATGTTGTGCTTTTCCATTATTCCATTTTTAAGAGCTACGCCTGACTGGCTGATACGCATAATGAAAAATACTGTATATTTTGAAAAGAAATCCTACACCAGGAGCCAATGGGTACAACATTTCTGTGCTGAATCAAGAACTTTCCTGCTGTGACCTGACAGCACTGTTCGACTCTTTGGGACCAGATTAGTTCCTAAAAAAAGTCTCTGCTAGCTTCTTAGCATCGGTCATTTTTAGTCCATAATACCATAGACTGCTAAGGAGGTTATTTGACACCAAGAAGTTTTGTTATAATGGGCTGATGGTAAGTAACTAAAACAGTATTTCAAAATCACTTAAAAACATCTTCCTCACTTAGTAACCTAGCAACCAGTCATTTCAACATGGAAGCCATTGTGATTCTTAAAATTTCCCCACATAATTATATCCCTCCTCAGCCAATCACATGAGGCCTTGAGCCATAAATAACAGTCTGCTCCCCTACAGAGCTGTGCAAGTCTGTGCCATAAAGTCAACAAACACTTTCTCCAGTAGCGGGTCCTGCACAGCACAGGATTGGTCTAGCTGAAATTAAGATAAACACAAGAGGAAGAGGGCGGTAGGGAGGCAGAGAGAAGGAGGAGAGAAAGATAGGCATGAATGCGAAGAATGGCAAGAGTGGAGTGATGGAAAAAAAGAGGAAAAGATAAACAAATGCAGCCTATGATTATAGTGTCGCTGTGGAGGCTGTTAAGGAGGACTCTGGTTATGAGCTGTATCATTACAGACTGTGCAAACAGTTGGTAAAATAAAACCTTTCTATTTGAAACACTGGCTTGCTACAAGATCAATTCACACAGCTTAAACTAAATTATTGAACTATTTACCAAAAAAACTACAAAACCTTTCGTCTGTATGTGTTGTACTTTCAGGGCAAGCGCAGCAATAACCGCAGTGCTGTTAAACAACTTAGCCTCTTGAGCATTATATTTAGATTTTATGACCAATACTAAACTGTGACCCATTAGGGTAATTTAAGATGTGAACTCAATATGGTAACAAGTCATGACTCCAATTATAATCAAGTCATTTCACCTCACATGGCTGGAAGAGGACATTGTTCCATTTGCTCACTCTGGGTGATGATGGCTCGGACTGGGAATGTTGCTAATGTGTTGCAAAATACCAAAACGTTTGTGTTTCTTTAGAGGTCAGACGGTTCATCAGACCTCCTCATTCCACATCTTCACTGTCTTAGAGTCTGTGTGGCAAAATGGCGACACAGTTGCATAATGTTAAAGCCTCTTTTTTTAGATACGTTATTTTCAAATTGCCACAAAGCCTTTTGAAACAAACAGTTAAAATATGTGGTCACACACTTCCTGACACTGATAAACATACGTGTCATTAGTAAAAAAAAAAAAAAAAAAATGTAGAAATGCCTATTGTTTTTAGCCGCAGGGAAATGGTTCTTTCAAGGCCCATTCACAGTTAACTGTGCATGCTTATAATATGGTATGTGTGTTTTAGCACACGCAGATGAAAACTTTTGCAGAAAGGTAAGAGCTTTGCATATTATTTTTCAAACTTTACCGGTATTATTTTATGATCTCCAATAACTTCTGGAGAAAGGCACCAGCAGTTTTTTTTATCGCCAGCGGGTATAAAAATGGGTGGATGGAGGATGGATGTTACAGATGTTACAGTGTTTTGAAGAAATAGTGATTCAACTCAACATTTTTTATCAATTGTCAAATCAAAAAAACTTCATCGTGTTTTCAATTTGCTTCGACGTTGTAGAACAATACAAAGCAGTGCGTGATTTTAAAATGGAAAAAAAAAAATTTGTTTACATTTATTATTGCTCTTTTACTCTGATACCTGCATGTAATCGAAACTTACTATGAAAGTAGAGGTTTCAGAAGTTTGTCAGAGCTCAATGACAAAGACCAAGCAACACATACACAGTAAAAAATGTACGTCCTCCTTTCAGATTTTGACTTCTATTAAATACATGACAACATATGCAGCTTTCTCATTAATGCACAACCTGCCTTTGGTCTGTTCCATAAAATTATATATGGCACGATGCAGGTTGAAGTTCAAAAAATTAAGAAAAAGTTCAAGGGATAACAATACTTTAGCAAAGGATTTTATTTTCCAATTTATTCTCGTAAACCTAAAGAGCAAATCCACATCTTCAGAGGTGAGACACCTGGATGTGATACAACATGCAGATCCACCTAACCTCTTCCTCAGTCGCTAGCAAATTTTTTTTTTATACCTCCCAATTGGGATTCTGCTAGCCTACATTCCTTTTTTCAAGGTTGGTGGTGATGGCAAATTAAATTACTTGTCCTGTTTTGCAGTGCTGGCACCAGGACAACTGCATATTGGCTAAAATGATGAGCGCAGGATTCTGAAGACTGATGCATTTGTCCTGACCTGTTGGTGTCATGTTTGCAAAGCAGGTAGCAGCAAGGAAAGAAGCTGAAATCAGAAACATCTTAAATTCTGCCTCTCTAATCGCCTGAAAAAAAGAGGAAAAATCAATGTGTCTCTGCTTTCAGATGTGCAACTTTATACTTTTATCTTTTGGGCTTACCCTGCTGATGGAAAACGTGTCATGTGCTTGCACTTGGAGAGAAGCTTGACTGCATTAGATGTAATTGTATTAGCCTCTCAGTACAGCACACACCACCTGCTGGAGATCTAAGATATGACAGGATGGATGAAAAATAAATACAAACACATTTTTCATGTACATGTTTTTAGTATTGCTCTTTGTGCTGCAAAAAAATCTCTTGCATTTGATTTCTGACTATGTTTTTCAAACTTAGCTGCGTTTTTATTTCTTCAGTCACAATGCTTATCTGTTCTGTAGGCTGTCTGAATGTCAACAGCAGCATATGGAGTTTATCTATGATTTGCAGAGAGGGCTGCTATCGGCGGACAAACATCTTACACACTACTCTGCGGAATGGAAGGAACTTGTAGTGTGTTCGGTGCTGTTCAACACAACACAAATAAACAAGCAACTTGATATTATGATTCTTTTGGCAGTCGGATGGGTGAGCAAGAGTTCTGTTTATAGTCACAACATACGTCCAAAATGGTGAAGATAGCACTGTGGCATAAACTGCACCACTAAATTTCATGTACAGACGTCTTTTTCTCATGACTAAAGATCCCTATTTATCTAGTTGTGTAATTTACCTAACAACTAGAGTTTAAATTGTGTTTTTATGCAAATATGTTTGCTAACCTTGAAAGGCTGCTGTCAATATCACATTACTAAAAGCTTTATACATACAATATGTTTTAATTTTATTATTCATTGGTCTCTCACAGGGTCACCTCCACATATCCGTAGAATGAAAGGCAGCAGTTTCAGCTGGCAGTGAGCAGAAGATTTCAGCCAAGCAGATCTTTCTGCTTGATAGATAAAAAATACAGACATGAGGCTGGAACTACTGGACACTAGAGAGCAGCAGAGGAACTGAAAAACAATGGCAGATAGGCTAAAAATGTGATTATATTGTTATTGTTTCCAAGAGTTTTGGATAACTGTTGGTCTGAAAGCATTACGTATGATTTAAATAATGATACATGTACATGGTTAATTGCGTCTAAATCATCTTAATAGATCTGAATAATTGTATAAAGACTAAAAAAAAATCTTGCTGTTAATTAGCTATTAGCTGTTAATTAGCTATAAACATTATGTTCCAATGACAACATTGAGCATTTTTCTGGTCACGCTACTTCTGAATAAATTGAGTTTTACTGTAAACCAGGAAAACATTTAATACTTACAACGATAAACCTCAAAAACTAAGTGGGAGCGGGAGTCGTTCAAACTATTAAAGTCAACCTGTGGCACGCACCTGTCGTTTTTTGTGACTCTACAACTCTCGCGAGATTTCCGGATTGCGCAGTGGAGAAGACAATTCACTTCGGCCGCCATCACTGCACACAAGCTAAAACATTAGCCGAAACATTCTGAGGAAAGCGACTGACAACAGTGTAACGAACGCAGATACTGACCGCATTCCCATAAGGGAGGCCATTAAGCGTCCTTTTTTCTGTCCGGGTGCAGAAAGCAGACCAGCAGCTGCCTTTCATGTAGTCTTTAAGTCAACTTAGTAACGAAAGTCGCTCTAAGTAATCATGTCCAACCTCAAAGGCGGCACCAAGAAGGACACCAAGATGAGGATACGAGCCTTTCCTGTGAGTATTATTAGACGGACGCTGATTTTAAAACTAGGGCGTTGGAAATGAAAGATCTCTGTGTTTGTAGCTGTCAGCTAACTAGCATCTCAAACGAAAAAATAGACGTCATTGTCTGGGGGAAACTACAACTGCCTGAACAAATCATTTCTGAGGCACAGAGGCTTTCATTATTTTTGGTTCAGAAGCATTGTTTTCGTTATCGGTTTGAAATTATTACCGTTTATTTGTCACGAGCTAATGCTAGCATGTGTGAAGAAACTTCAAATATAAGCTCGTTAGTAGCGGGCCTGTTAGCTGGCTTGACGTTTGCCAAGTTTCTGTCAGTCTGTCAACCAGTATCATTACGTTATAATAACCGCTCACGCTTCCATGTAATGTGTGCATAAGGGTTTTTGCTCATGCGAGTGAATTCATTTGAAACTTAGTGGCTCTTTATTGAGAATGAAACATGAATATGCATGTCTAACCTAAGTTCTGAAGTGGAGATAAAAATTTGAACTGTGGAGATAAAAATTAGTGTTTGTCAAAATAAACTATTTAATCTGAATGAGCCTTAAAAGAAGTTTTCAATGACGCATGGTTCCTGTATGGAGCCTAAAAGTTGACAGGGATTTTGTTTGAAAGGTTGCATTTCTGGGGTAATTTATGTCCTCAAATTTCCATTGAAACCTTTAAAATAAATAAAAAGATCACCTAAATTGTTTCTAGATCTTTCAAAATGTTTCAAATAATTTTTCAAATAATTTCTGAGAAATCCACCCTTTTTAGTGATTAGAATAAATGTTTATTGCATGTGACCTAATTTCTACCAAAAGTTATGCTTCATTGTTGATGATATAGTATTACTCTTACATATTTCTATATTATCTAAGAGCAGTCTCCCTACAAACAAAGAGACAGTTTGTCTCATGAAACTTTATTTTATAAGTTATATCCTTCTAACTTATAAGGCCAGTGGCCTTGACAATAGTCAGACAGGGAATGGGCAAAAAGAAAAGGGGGCAAGCTCCTAAGGTCAGGAATCGACAACGGTCATGAAGCCTTTGCTTTTAAGTAGAAATGTTGTGACTTTTTCTCCATGAGGTGACCAATGTGTCCCTTGCAAAAATCAGTTTAAGTCTTTTATTAACTCCAAAATGACTCATTTAATGACATTAGGGACAAAATGGCATCACTGAGTTGAAACTATGCTATGAGAGATGAAGTCAGCATTACTCATGGAAACGCTTGTTTCAATTTTTTTTTTCTTTTGTGCACTGCACTGCCCGGATCTCCTATATGCCCCATATTGTTTATATTACTTTAGCCCAATAGTTGTGTTGCTTTTGTTCAAATGTACATGACCCTCCCAATTTATTTAGTCAATAACAGTGATTAAGTTGTGATCAACCTTGCACGTGGCTTTATTTTCTTAGGATTTTATTTTAATTTATTGCACAAATATATTTTTCTGCTTTTGACTTATTTGTTGCTGGCATAAACATCTGATCATTGGTCCAAGCTTTCCAAGCTGAAATGGGAAAAGTACTGCAATAATATTTGACATGCTTCTAACATTAAAGGATTTCTTGCTTTGCACAGAAATGCATCTTTAAATAGATGAAAAAATGAGACAACAGGTATTGTTGAAGTTTACTCTGGTATTTTATGTATGAATAATTGCTTATCTAATTAAACCAACTTGACCTAGAGAAGTTAACTAGACAAGGAAGTGCATGTAATTAGAATAAAATCAATGGCAACACTGTGACATATGTTTAATGTAACATATTTGAAAATTGTTTAATCTTTTGAAATGGCATTGAAAGAATAAAGTCTCATATTGCTAATCTCATACGATTTACCAATATAAATCAGTTGATGTTTCCAAACCACAACTTCTCATTATTATTATTATTTTTTTTTGTGTGTCCCGCAGATGACGATGGATGAGAAATACGTAAATAACATCTGGGACCTTCTGAAAAATGCCATCCAGGAGATTCAGAGGAAGAACAACAGCGGGCTGAGCTTTGAGGAGCTTTACAGGAATGCCTACACCATGGTGCTCCACAAGCACGGAGAGAAGCTCTACACGGGCCTAAGGGAAGTGGTCACAGAGCACCTCATCAACAAAGTAAGATACGGCTTTTCTCTTCAACAATCATAAAAATCTAATTTGTACTGGTCCCACCGTAGATAAATTGGCTTGATGTGACTTGATTTGGTTGTTTGTGTTATTTTTAGGTACGGGAAGATGTTCTAAACTCCTTAAACAATAACTTTCTGCAAACACTGAACCAGGCTTGGAATGACCATCAAACTGCTATGGTTATGATCAGAGACATCCTTATGTACATGGTAGGAACTCTGTTCTTAAATTATTTGTGAACTAAAACAATGAAGCTTTGTTTGCATGTTTGTTTAATCGGAAAACTGGCAGAACCATTTGCATTACCTTTGCCAACAGCGAGAACAAAAAGTGTGTGTGGTTGTGCTCGAGTGATTGATCCCTTGAGATTAGCGCAAGTGTAGGCTAAAACAATAGCCCAGTCAGTATGGAGATCACAGGGCTCTACTGGAGCCCTATTGCTTCACGCTTTTTTTGGTTTTTGACTGGCAGCACTTTGACATATCTTTATGTCAAATATATTTTTGTGCTCATAATTCCAAACCTGCCTTAAGATTAACATAAATCAAGTCTATAAAAGATTACATCATCTTCAAAGAAGCGGTACACTTTGATCAACTTGTTTAGAGGATTGTTTAAGACCAGATCTGTTGTGATCAGTCTTGGTTTCCTTCAAAAACTTTTATGTAAGAGATTACCAGTGAAAAAAAACCTCATTAAAACCATGAAGTTTGATATTTATTGTCTGAAGCCCATGGATCATAAGGTTGTTGTAATGTAAAAACTCAAAATCTTACAATGCATTTTTTTCCACTTTACCTACAAATAATGTCCTTATGCTGGTATAACTGTCTCTTATACTAAAAAGTATACATCAAATGTAGGTATTTATAATCCATTTTAATAAAAAAAATTCAATGTGTTATTCTCTCGACTAAACAAAGCATTTATCAGAAATACTGTTGAGGAAAACATTTTGAGTTTCATGTTGACCTAATTGTACTGACTAAATCATAGTTGGTAGTTGCAGTGAAGCTGCATGTGACAGTTTGTATCATGGTGTTTCATTTAACAAGCAATTAACACTTAAAGTTGGCAGTCAAGGAAGTAAAGTAGATTTCTAGCGAGATGACAACGAAGAACACAATGCCTTAGGTATTCTTAATGAACTTCCTCCAACATTTTTCCGTGCTGCAATTTTCAGTTTCTTCAAAACTAAAATGACATCCGCTCATCAGAAACGCAAGCAGGAAAATGATAATGACTCATTTCAGTGGAATTAAAACAAAGAGTTCCTCTGGCCTTGCATCACAATATGGAAAACTGTTAGTTTCAGAACTAGCTTCGCCAGTTCTGAAACATAACAGGTTTCAAGATTAGAGATCATAGCACTACCTACTTAACAATCTGTCAAAGGCAAATTCAAGAAAATAATAAGGACTTAATTGCTCCTAAAAGCTATTGAAGATTTGGAACATTCATATGCTTGTTTCTGATTAAATAAACCCTGAATTGCAGAGAATGTTACACAGTATGTTTGTATTTTAGGTCATATCCACATAGAATTTTTAAACAATTTTTTTTTGCATTTGTTTTTTTGTTTTTGGTGCAAAGATTATGAAAAAGTAAGCGCTGCAGCTGACTAAAACACCAGAACTTTCTTGCATCTCGCATACACACACAAAGTGTTAACTAATATATAAGAGCATTAAAAAAAGTACATCACTGCAAAATCCTACTCATTCTCTGAGATCCCTCACATATTAGATTAAGTGCAAGAAAACAACTCTTGAGCTTGCTTAATAAAATAATCAGACTTTCCAGAAGCAAACTAAATGAGCCGAATGTTTTGGGACTAAATATTAAAGGTCATGTGGTCTGTTTGGATATATAAACCCTGCCTCAAAGTCAGAAGAAGAAAGGCATTAGATAAATAGTGCCTTATATACCAAAATATGTGCGCTACTGACTGACAAGGACTCGGTTTTCTTTTCTTTTATCAATTGTCATATTCTGAAATGACAACTGGTAAAATGCCAGAACTTTTCATTGAACTTTTCATTGAGCTTTTATTGACCTCCAATAATTTATTTTTAAAAGAATACTGTGGGAAATCCATGCTATAATACAAGCTAAAGCGTAACATTAAAATTGGTTAAAGTCATTGTGTCTCTTTTTTTCTAACTCTCTTTCAGGATAGGGTTTATGTTCAGCAAAACAACGTGGAGAATGTATACAACCTTGGCCTAATCATATTCAGGGACCAGGTGGTACGCTACGGCTGCATTCGGGACCACCTACGACAGACGTTACTGGACATGATTGCGCGGGAAAGAAAGGGGGAAGTTGTAGACAGGTAAGCTCCTGTGCTCCTGCGTCCGGTGGCTATGCGTCACCGGACGCATAGCCAGATATTTTAAATGAATCAGTAAGTCTGATGTAACTCGAGGTTTTTGTTTGTTTCCTTTCTACCACCAACTGCAGGGGCGCCATCAGAAACGCCTGCCAGATGCTGATGATTCTCGGACTGGACGGTAGATCTGT